CCTCCTAGGGAGGATTCGTGCCCGAGGAGAGGCCCAATCTATAGCAACAGTCGTACATAAAACATTGCGACTTGGAGCCGCAGAAAAAAAGGGCAATCTATAGGAACACGCGTACAACACCAAGGAGTCGTGCCCTAGGAGATGCCCTCTAGGAACATAAGTACACAGGAGATGGACAATCTATAGAAACATACGTATAACATTAAGGATTCGTGCCCCAGGCGAGGCCCAATATATGAGAGCATACGTAAAACACATGGGATTGGAGCCACCCCTGTTGCCTTCTGAGGCCTCCTGCTCCTGGGGCCTCTCGGGGCCTCCTGTTGCCCTCCGGAGACCTCCTGGCGCTTCCTCTGGCCTCCTGGGGCCTCCTGTGGCTTCCTGAAGCCTCCAGGAGCTTCCTGGGGCCTCCTAGAGCCGCTTGGGGCATCCTGTGGCCTCTTGGGTCTTTCTGTGGCATCCTGATTCATCGACCTCATGTGGTTTCCTGGGGCCTCCTGGAACCTGTTGGAGCCTCCTGTGGCATCCCCAGGAAAACCAGCGCCCACGAGTCTGGCCACCGATCGAGACATCCTCAAAATCTGGCCCACCAGGGGGGGGTGAAATGGAGCGCCTCGCTTGAGACATCCTCCAAATCTACTCCGAGAGCGAAGGATGCTGGGACAGAAAACAAGCACACCGCTTGAGACATCCCCACAAAACGGCTGCGAACGGGACCGTGAGAGAACCATTTGCGGCCCCCCTTAGGGTGGTGAAAATGAGCGCCCCCCACCAGTCCTCCTGCCAAGGGAACCTGGCTGTGGTTTCCGGCGACGTACCAGCGCCCTTGGCTGACAGCGTTGCAACGCACGCGCTGCATTACGCGGAAGTAGTAAGATGATATGTTTCTGACATGATGAGTGGGCGCGCGCGGCGCGGGCCTACATGGCACGTCGAAGGCGCCTGACACACGCCCGCGATACTATTCACGACCGAAATCGGAAAATTAGCTCGGGCGGCGCACATGCGGTGGGACACGCGTGCGTTCGGCATCACCCGCGCGAGGTGGCTAACAATTTCACGGCGTTGCGCTAAAAATGCCATTGTGCCCAACATCGTTTCGAAGCGCGCTGCGGTGCGCCGCGCAAGCGCGCGTGGACTGCGGCCTGCATGCGGCCCGCGCACTAGTACGAGCGATTGAATCTGAAAGGGCAAGGCGCGGCACGTGCGCCATGAAAACGCGGCACACGGCAGAAGCAGTTACGAGAAGGAAACTCGCGCGATTCGCGTGCCTCCGTCGACCGAAATCGCTAAATCAGGGCAAGCGATCGGCGACGACCGCGTTTGACGCCACCAATAAATACATGAAAAAATGCAAAAACAAATTTGTCGAGGCCCTCGTTTTGTTTCCTGGTGGGCGCAACACCTGACACGCGCAGGTGTGTCCGCGAGCGACCCTTGGGCTGCGCGGCTTGCCGCTCGCCGCTGTACGCGGCGCGACACGGGTGGCCTCCGTGTGCTCGGGCTGGGCCCCCAAAAGCCGCCCAAAAGGGCCGCGCGCCGAAGACCCCTCCCCGGCGAGGGGCCACTCCCACTCGTGGCCGACCTGCTCGCGCCTCGCGCCCGGCTCCCCGCGGTGATCCCGCTCCGACCTGCCCGCGCAGCAGGCCTCGACACCCCTGCCGGGCACCGCCCAGCGCCAGCTCGTGATGTGCCTGCGCCGCCGTCCGAGGCGCCGTGCCCTCGGCGCGCAGGGGCATGATTCAGAGTGCTGGTCTGCAGTGGAGGCCCATGTCAAGAAGACACCCTGCTTGCCTCCAGGGTGCCCCGGGTTTCCTCGGTTTCCGATGGCTTCGCGCTGGGAAGCGCGACGTTCCCGCACCAAGAAGCAATGGACGTCCTGGGGTCTCAGGATTGGGTTTCTTGTGGAAGGTTTCTTGTGGTCGAGCCCCTACTCTAGCAAGCATGGTAGCACGCTCCAACGTGCCGAAGGATCCTTCGAAAACACTTGTTGGGCAAGGCTTCTGCAAGTCAGGGTCGCCAATCTCCGAGTTATTCACGACCGCCCCTTAGAAAATCCTTCCACGCCTTGGGCGGACCAAGGCCGCCCCGAGAGAGCTCAAAGGCGGCCTCGAAACCCGACCCAATGCTACCAGGAAGGGCCTATCGCTGGAAAACCATGCGGCCATGCGTACCCTGCCCTCGCTCGGGCCAACCGCACGTGCGTCCAACTTCCTGCCGGTTTACAAGGCACCCGGGACCTAATTGCCAGAAGCCCCAACATGCCCTGCCAACGCCATTGACCCCCGCTCGGTGTATCAACGGTTTTAGCGTTATTGCCTTTTCAGGTCCCCGATGCACCGAGACGGTCAATGGGGACCCCACTGTCGCCCCGATGCGGCGCAAGAGGCCCACAAGACGGCTCCAAAAACAGCCCCAATGCGGCCCCCAGTGCGACCCAAGAGTGCGCGAAGGCGGCCCCAAGAGGGGCCCCGAGAGTGGGAGCGCGAACCGAAATTTCGAGCCCTCCGCCGCAAGGGCGACCCCCGGGGACCGCCAGCAGGGCCGCAAGGGGCCGCAGGGGGCCCCCGCGAAGCCACGGGGAGGCAGAGGCGGAGGCCCCCGCCGAAAGACCGGCAGGCACCCCGAAGCTGCACGCACCCAGGAGGCTTCCGCGAGGCCTCCCCCCCAAAAAAACCCAGCGGGCATCGGCTATGTGCAGCCGAGGTGCTATCAGAGGGAGCGCTGAAGAAGGAACGAAGCCCCTTCTTGGCCCCAGAAGCGCCTAGGTGCGCGAGGAGTGACGGGGGAGGAGCCATGGAAGAGCGTAAGGAGCAGCGAGCCCCTTCCGCACCCGAGGCGTTCCCTATTTCAGCGTCTTGGCTGTATCAGATCCAGCGGCGGCGGCATGGGCAGAAGGCCACTAGGTGAGAGAGGTTGGCAACCAGCGGAACAGGGGGGATGTGTGAAGGAGCCTAACCCACCAAGGGGTCTGTGGAGTGGGGACTATATATGACGATGAGGTGTCCCTCCAGAGCCCAAAGTCCTCACGCCAGTGTGCGCCAACACCTGGGCCGGGATGTCGATAGGTGTGGGGGAGGGAGAGGGAGAGACTGCGGGGGTACACACGGCCCCCGGGCACGGCGTGCGCCACTGCTGCGCTGGGACCGGAGACCTGCGACGTCGCGGCCCATGACGTGCTGTCCTGCAGATCACACCTGCCTCCTGGAGACGGAGTGCGGCTTCTGGACCACCTGCGGCCCGCTGCGCCGCCTTCCTGGCCGCCTCTCCGCGGCCGCGCGGCGTGGCCACAGCACCCTCATGATGTGGCGGTCGCGTCCTCGGCCACTCGCTGTCGCCTCGTGCGCGCCCTCTGGGCCGCGGGGCGCGGTGGCCTCCGAGCCCTCTTCGGGCCATCGCCTCCGCGAGCGGAGGGCCATTAGTGGGGAAGCCGAGAGGTACCGACACGGCTACTCCCCGGGCCTCTCCCGGGTCGCGTTCTGACCAGGACTGCGAGGCGAATCTTGCGGTGGCGGCGTGGGCTGCCCAGGAAGCCCATGAAGGGGAAAACGGGCGAAGGGGTAGCGGTATGGGTGCCCTTTCCTAGGGAAGCAAGCAATGACATAAACATAAAAACACGGAGGTCCGCGCGGACTTCTCGGATCGGCATTTGACCCCCCCCCCTTGGCGCGCGGAGCGCGCCAGGGGCGGCGCCGGAGGCGTCGCCAGGGGGCTCCAGCGCCGATCCGAGAAATCCGCTCGGACCTCCGAGTTTTTATGCTTGTGCCATTGCTCGTTCCCCTGTTTCCTCCTCTGACACTCTCTGTGGATGGCGTCGGAGTTTGGGACGCGCCGCGGCCCGCTGCGCGCAGCCTTCGCGGCACGGCCTGTGACGTGCGGCGACCTCTCGGAGAGCTTTTGTTCGGGCGGCCGCCCTCCGCTGCGCCTCGTGCCCGTGCCCCGGAGGCCGTGGGGCCGCGAGGACCCTGGAGCACTCTCTCGGGCACGGGAGGGGCCCGACCACAAGAAGCCTGTTCCGTCGGGCAGCGAGGCGAGACAAGCCGCACCCGCGCGGCAGCGATGCAGGGGCACTGCAGAGCGAACTGGCCGGCATGCAGGAGGAGGGCAAAAGGCAGGGCAGGGCGGCCGCGGGGGTGGAGAGGAGGGGGAGCACTCAGAGGCGGAAGACTTCTGCCATGGACCACAAGAAACACATGGCCGCATGGTTTTCCAGCGAGGGGCCGTCTGGTCGGGTTTCGAGGCCGCCTTTGAGCTCTCTCGGAGCGGCCTTGATCCGCTCAAGGCGGAGAACGATTTCCTAAGGGACGGTCGCGAATAACGCGGAGGTTGGCGCCCCTGACTTGCAGAAGCCTTGCCCAACAAGTGTTTTCGAAGGACCCTTCGGCACGTTGGAGCGTGCTACCATGCTTGCTAGAGTAGGGGCTCGACCACAAGAACCTTCCACAAGAAACCCAATCCTGAGACCCCAGGACGTCCATTGCTTTTCGGTACGAGAACATCGCGCTTCCCATCGCAAAACCATCGAAACCCAAGAAACCCAGGGCACCCTGGAGGCAAGCAGGGTGTTTCTTCGCATGGGCTTCCACTGCAACTAGAAGCTCGTACCATGGGCTGGTGCATCCTGGGCCAGCTGCAGCCCGCTGCACCGTCTGCTTGGCTGCTCCGTGGCCACGGGGCTTCGGGCGTGACGACCAGCAGGTTGTCTTCTCCGGTTGCCGCCGCCACTCTGCAGAGCGCAGGAAAGGGGAATCGGCACAGGGTTGGGAGCAAATTGGGGGGCCCGGCAACGCCATGATTATTTTGACGATTCCTTGCAAGAAGGCTTCCGGTTGGCCTGATGGCATCGCCACTGCTCACTGCTCGGGGCACGGCACAGCGATCCCGCGGCCACAGGGACCGCGCGTGAGCACGCTGACTCGATGACTCGCCTACTCGCAGTCGCACGGCGAGGCCCCCGCGCGGCGCCGAGGCGGCGCGGCGGCGGCCGCGCGGCCGAGGCCTCACAGCCTGGCCGCGATCGCGCCGCCGTGGACCACGAGGGCGACCAGCGCCAGGAGGTTGGCCAGGGAGCTCATGCCGTGGAGCTTCCCGAATCTCGCCTGCAGCTCCTTGTTCCGCCGCTTCCAGGCTTCTCCGCTTTTCTCCTCCTCCTTCTCCATGTCGTACCGGGCGAACATCACCGAGGTAGACTCGGGCTCGAGGTAAAGCAGGTTCGCCAGCGTGCACAGGAGCGAGAAAATCGCGCACCCCGTGGGCATCCCCAGTCGGCTGGCTGTCAGGATGACCACCGCGGTGCACGCGGTGCCGAGCTGGAAGTACTTTGGGAACAACTTAGCCTGCAGCGACCCAAACTGCTTCCGTGGGAGATTCTTGAACATCGTGAGGCCTGCGATGAAGGTGGTCCAGACGCTCGTTCCAAGCCAAGTGCCGTACGCCGCGAGGTGCAGCATGGCGGCGAACGGCGCCGCGGAGCCGGCGAGGGCGCCGCCGCCGACGAGCGCCGCGGCCCGAAACAGCGGCTTGTTCCAGAGGGCGGGCGTCACGAACTGCGCCGCCTTGTCCACATTCCGGACGACCACCTTCTGCGGGTCCGCCTCGCTGAGCTCCGAGGTGAGCGTGTCCGTCTGCGCTCGTCGCCAGCCCCCCAGCCGGCGAGCCTGAAGGGGCCCTGGGACACACAAATAAATACACACAAATAAAAAGATTCCCCATCTTTTCCCCTATTTTCTGGGTTTGGGTCTTCCCCCCCACTTCCCCTATTTTCCCATGTTTTCCTGGGAGTCGACGATTAATTGTGTCTGTGTGTTTTTTTCCCTCCTGAGAGCCGCGCGGCGCGGCCCCCACGGCGGCCGCAGCGGCCACCTGCCGAGCCCCCTGGCGGAGAAGCCCGGGGACCCCGCCGAGCACCAGGCGGCGGCGGCCAGCGCGCCGGCGGACGCCAGCAGCACCAGCCGCGAGGTGCGCCGCGCGCCCATGGCGCAGGGGCGGCCCGCCGGCGGGGGGGCAGCGCGCCGTTCGGCGCTGAGCCACGGAGACTGCTCGAGCCAGGGCAAGGCTGCAGCGCTGGACCGGCCCAACGGGTGCAACCTCGAGAGCAGCCACCGGCCAAACAATTGCACACATGCGATTGCGCCACGGTTTGAGCGTTTGGAGAAATAGCCAGCCCAAGGAGCGAAATCGTTTGCGATTTGGTAATGACGTGCCAGAGCTCACTGGGCATTTGAAATGAACAAACGGTTGCGTTGCAACGAAACACGCGGCAAGCAATTGCCTTGCAACCATTAAGGCCACAAAACATAGCACTGCAAACATTCCAGCCACAAACGATTACAATGCACCATGTGTGGCCTTACCTTCCAGACAGACCTGCGGTTTCGTTCCTGTTCAGGCCCTGGGAGTGACCAAACGCCAACGCTGCTCGTGCTTTCCCTTCTCTTCTCCCTCCTCCGAACTCGCGGTTCATGCCGCACGTGCTCTCATGCGCTTCTCTTGCCAGCTGACGCCTTCGCCATCTCGGGCGCGCCCTCAAAGCCCGAAGGCCAGCGCCCCTGGGACTCAACGGATGCCCCAGCCTGAAGCATCCCTGGGCCTCTGGCAACCTTGGGCCTCTGGGCTCTTGGGGTATGGCTTGGGGGCCTCGTGAGCCTCCGAGCTCTTGAGACAAAACAGGGCTGGACCTGAACGTTGTGTTTCGTTTGGTTGTTCGTTTTGCACTACCTGTTTTCCTGTACCTCCCTGCCAAAACGAAAAAACAAAGCACAGCCGAAGTCCAGCAAAACAGCGTTTAGGTTCAGCCCTGAGATCGAATGCCTGGAACCACAAGGCTAGGCTTGTGTGTGCGCACGTGGCATGAACCGAAATAGCTTCGGGAACCATGCGACCCCTTCTGCAGCCACGCGGGTACTCGGGGCAAGCCCTGCGAGAACGTGCCAGGGCCGCAGGCCTCAAGATCAGGTCCGCGAGTTCCCCCATGGGACGTCGGCTGTGCCACGCCGGAGCATCTCATCCTCGCCGACCGACGGATCCTCGCCTCAGTCAGCTACACAGGTTCCCCAACTACTCCCTAAGAGCCTCCGACGATGTGAGCCCTTGTGCGGGGCCCCTGGCTCTCTCGCCCCTTGCCTGGGGCTGGCTTCTCATCCTTCGGTGGCAACTCATGGGAGCCTCCCAATACCATCTTGTCGGCTGTTGAAACGACGCTGGTCGACGCTGAATCGACGCAAATCGACGCTAGATCGCCGCCAATCGACGCCAGCCGACGCTGATTCGTCGCTATCCCATCGACTCCCAGACGCTCATCGACGCAAGTCGACGAGAAAGATGGATTTGACAGGGTATACCAGGCTCCCATGACTTGCCACCGAACCATCCTGAGCCGACTTCCGATGGAGGCCGACACCGATGGAACACGTTCAGTGCTGAAACTTGGCAGCGGCCCGGGGCTCTCTGACCTGGACAGGCCCCGAGAAAACCGGGCCGGAACAGGGGACACGGCAGGTCCGTGCCGTGCCGACCTGGGCGTTGGTCCCTGACGCCGCGAGGATCGTTCCACCTTGAACGATCGGCCGTCTCCGCAGCGTCCGATCGTTCCACATCGACCGATTCTGGGTCGCTTGCGGCGTTCAACCTCGAACGCCGGCGGCGGGGTCGCCGCTGGTCGACACGACGCAAACCTGCCGTACTGGACATCCGCCCACAATCGGCCCGCCGACCCCTCCCGGGGGTCCATCCATGGTGCAGTTCTATTCTTCGCCTCGGATATCCGCTTCTGACGGGATCCCGGGGCCCGAACGCGGCCCCCATAGAGGCCGGCATAGAGGCGTACCCAGATGGTCTGGTACCGGAAATTTTCGGTAGCGATTTCGACGCACCCCGAATTTCGGTAGCGACCGGATCTTCGTTTGAGGGCGTTGAAATAGCGGATTTCAGAACGCTCTGATACCGGTATTGGGCGCTACATTTCGGTATTTCGGTAGCGACCGATCTCTGCGGAGCGCTACCGGAAATTTTCGGTAGCGGACCATCAGGGTACGCACCCTCTCCGGCCCAACCTCTCGGACCTCGCCCCCGGCTCCCTGCTGGCCGAACCAACGCCGGGCCACCTCTCGCCCCCCCGGCGGCCAGGCGCGCGCGTCGACACATGCCCGAAAAAGCCTTTCTCGTCGACGCGCGGGCGCCATCCTCGTCGCCCGGCGTTTGTCAGCGTCGGCGCCGCCATCGGCCGTGCCGTGATCATCGTCGTCGCCAGCGTCGCTGCCATCTTCCCCGCGCCTGCCGTTGCCGCCGTCGCCACGGTGCCGCGCCCGCCCAAGCCCCCGACTCGTCAAAGTGCCGGCGCCCCAGCGCTGCCGGCGGGGCGCGCTGGGACGCCAGCCGGCTCCAGGCCCAAATCTCATCGGGGGGCCCCCTGGCCGCCTCCAGCGTGTCTTTCGTCGCCGCGGCCGCGTCGAGCTCGCGGGCCGTCTGCGAGAGGCTCTGCCGCGCCAGCGCGTGCTCCCGCTCGACCTCGGCCGCGCGCGGGGGGGGGGGAGCCTCTTGGGGGGCCCTCGCCGGGCCTCGGGGCCGTCAGGAGACGACGCAGGACGAGAATCTGGCCCCGGGGAAATAGGTCGAAACCTCTGGGGGTCGACGCTGTGAAACAGAATCAAGACGTCGGGGGTCTGGGAGGAGGGCGAGCAGGGCGAGGGGGCGAGGGCATGCCGAGGGCGCTCGCGCCAGGTCCGACATCCCCACCCCTCCCATCCCTCCCTTCCCGTGGCGCTGCTTTCTTTTCCCCTCTGCGGGGAGACAAGACAGCAGGACAAAGCTTGTGTGGGGTCTCCTTCAGCACCAGCCCCGACGCCGAGCCTCGCGTCGCTGAGGAGCCCAGGCGGGGTGGCCGACCACCGACTGCAGGGCATGCACCCCGCGGTGAGCTGCACGATGCCTCGCAGAAAGGGCACGGGCCCAGGCCAGCACCCGCCAGTGGCACGCAGTGCCCACGAGGGGCCCGCCGGTGGGCGCGACGCCCTGCGGCGGCTGGGCCGCATCGACACATTGGTCGTCAAAGTCTGGACGAGCGAGCAGGGAGAGGGGGCTAGGAGGAGGAGGGGGGGGGTCGAGGACCAATGCTCTGGGGCATGATCGTCTCCTGGGGGGGGTCTCGGGAGGTGCTGGGGGGTTCAGGGAGCCTTCGGGGGTCAGGATCTAGAGCGACGCCGAACCCTCCTCCTCAGCCTTGACACGATCCACCTCGAAGTCCTGGCGAGAGAGCGCTGTGGGCCATGTCCAGGAGACGAATGTCTAGGAGGATATGAGGAGGCTGTCGTCGTCGTCCTCCTCCTCCTCCTCCTCCTCCTCCTCCTCCTCCTCCTCCTCCTCCTCCTCCTCCTCCTCCTCCTCCTCCTCCTCCTCCTCCTCCTCCTCCTCTCCTCCTCCTCCTCCTCCTCCTCCTCCTCCTCCTCCTCCTCCTCCTCCTCCTCCTCCTCATTCTTCCTTCCCCTTGCGACAATCGACATGTCTGCATGCTGCGTGCCCTCTTTAGGCCTCGGGGGGGCTCGGAAAACGTTCTGGGGAGGAGGGACGAGGGAGGCCGGCAGGAGAACGAGTGCGAGGGCCCAGGATCGGGAGAGGGCGAGTTGAGACAACCACAACTCAAGTCCAGCCCCGGGACCCCTCCCGGGGTCCAGACGCACCAGCTTACCCAGCTGCGCCCAGCCGTGGCGACGAGGGCCCCCCCGAAGACAAACCACCGTTGTCTCAACTCGCCCTCCTCTCAGGCGGCGGCTACGGGAAGAGGAGGAGGAGGAGGAGGAGGAGGAGGGGCGGAGGGGCGGAGGAGGAGGAGGAGGAGGAGGAGGAGGAGGAGGAGGAGGAGGAGGAGGAGGGAGGAGGAGGAGGAGGAGGAGGAGGAGGAGGAGGCAGAGGGGAGGGAGGGCGATCGGCCACACGCAGGAGTGGACCTGGGCAAGAGTGACCTTTGGTGCGCAGCTTCTGGGGGGCCACGGTCCGCGTGTGGACCAGACACAAGCGCGCACGTTTGCGCTACGCGTCGCATCTCGTTCGGCGAGCGGGGGGGCCCCGGTGGGCCCGCACCGAAGGTCACTCTGGCGAAGGGTCACTCTTACCCAGACCCCCGACGTCGTGATTTTGTCACAACGTCGACCCGCAGAGGTTTCGACCTATTCCCCGGACCCCGAGTCGTTTTTACGCTCCCGAGGCCCGGTAAGGGCCCCCGGAGACCGAAAGTGGCGAAAAACCTCCCGTCGTGATTTTTTCGTTGCTCGAGGGGGTCTGGGTCTTACGTGTAGTCGAGGGGAGGGGGATGAGAAAGAGGAGGTAGAGGAGGAGGAGGAGGAGGAGGAGGAGGAGGAGGAAGAGGAGGAGGAGGAGGAGGAGGAGGAGGAGGAGGAGGAGGAGTACCGCTGGCTCCCTCCGTGTCGAGGCGGACGTTGGCCTCAAGAAGGCAAAATCTCGGCACATCTGCGCTACCCGACGGCGGAGACCTTCAGGGCCGGCCTGCCTCAGGCCACGGGTGGCCTTTAACCTGTTGAGCGCCCGCACGGAAGTCGCCGCCGAGTCCGCGCGCGACGGTACACCCCTACTCGATTAATAGATCTGAAGGCTAAGAAAATACTTCACTCGAAGCGTTTTCTTAACCAGTAGTCCAGTTCCACATATACGAGCATTCGACGAATGAAAGAAGCTCCAAGAAAACGCCCAGGGTCCAGTCCAGATTCTTGGTTTTCTTGGGCGAAACCTGGAATCCACGAAATCGTACGCTTTTTTCACCAGATTTCTGATCGGTGTACGAATCTGTCGCGTACCGAGAGGGGGGACGACGCGGTGCGACAAGGTGTCGCTTGCAGTCTGGATCTACCCGGTGCCCTCGCAGCCTCCTGCACCAGCGGTCTGGGAGAGCGGGCAAGGAACATGTGCAATCGCCGCTCAGCGGGCGAGGGCGAGGGCGAGAGGGAGGAGGGGGCGGACGGGGAGGAGGGCGAAAGGGGGGTGAAGAGCGGGCGGCGGAGGTGGACTAGACTGGACTGCCACACGAAGAGCCGGTGCCTCCTGAGTCACAAAAAAGGGTTGCTGTAACCCCCTCCGCACAGATCGAGACCGTTGAGTCGCGAAGCCATTCGAACCCAACCTCACGGCACGGCGCGTTTACCTAAGCAAGGGCGTCTACAGTCAAAACTGAGAGTACGGATGCGCGATCAAGATGCTAGGGCCTCGGAAGGCCATACCGACACTCTCCGAGCGGGGCTGGCCATCGAACGTGGTTGAGGAGATGACCGAAGCGGCAAGGATACCAGGGTACTCTTGGGAACTCGCTCATCCTTACGGTCCGTGTTGACTGTAGTGGGCGGCCCGGCAGGCACAAGGTCTTCCTCGCCGACAGTTGGGCGTTTGCTCAACCGTTTTTGTTACCCCTTGCGGGCCCGCCGACAGCGCGCAAAATTAGTCTGCCCTCGTTGCGCAGCCTGCGTCGTGTCGAAGGGGCTCGGTTGACAAACACACGTTGGCGCTAACACACGATTTGAGGATCATCAACAGGACCCCATTGAGATGGTGAGGAGGAGGAGGAGGAGGAGGAGGAGGAGGAGAAGGAGGAGGAGGAGGAGGAAAGGGAGGAGGAGGAGGAGGAAAGGGAGGAGGAGGAGGAGGAGAGAGGAGGAGAGGAGGAGGGGAGGAGGAGGAGGAGAGGAGGAGGAGGAGGAGGAGGAGGAGGAGGAGGAGGGAGGAGGAGGAGGAGGAGGAGGAGGAGGAGGAGAGGAGGAGGAGAGAGAGGGAGGAGGAGGAGGGAGGGAGGAGAGGGAGGAGAGGAGGAGGAGGAGGAGGAGGAGGAGGAGGAGGAGGAGGAGGAGGAGGGAGGAGGAGGAGGAGGAGGAGGAGGAGGAGGAGGAGGAAGACGAGACGGAGGAGGCGGAGGAGGAGGAGGAGGAGGAGGAGGAGGGAGGAGGAGGAGGAGGAGGAGGAGGAGGAGGAGGAGGGAGGAGGAGGAGGAGAGGAGGAGGAGGAGGAGGAGGAGGAGGAGGAGGAGGAGGAGGAGGGAGGAGGAGGAGGAGGAGGAGGAGGAGGAGGAGGAGAGGGGGGGAGGGGGGGGAGGAGGAGGAGGAGGAGGAGGAGGAGGAGGATGAGGAGGAGGAGGAGGAGGAGAAGGAGGAGGAAGAGGAGGAGGAGGAGGAGGGGGAGGAGGAGGAGGAGGAGGAGGAGAGGGACGAGGATGATGATGATGATGATGATGATGATGATGATGATGATGATGATGATGATGATGATGATGATGATGATGAGGAAGGAGGAGGAGGAGGAGGAGGAGGAGGAGGAGGAGGAGGAGGAGGAGGAGGAGGAGGAGGAAGGAGAAGGGAGGAGGAGGAGGAGGGAGGAGGAGGAGGGAGGAGGAGGACGAGAAGGAGGAGGCGGAGATGGAGGAGGACGAGGAGGACGAGCACGGCAGCGGCCAGGGAGGCTCTGACGCCGTCCGCCTCGAGCCCTCGGGGCACGGAGGCGTGCAAGACATTCCTCGCCCTCTCTGTTTCGCAGCAGGGTGCCCATGGGGCCTGGACCCTGTCCCCACCACCACCAACACTGAGCCGAACGTCCGGAGGGACGCGTGGGCAGAAGAGTGCGCGATTGGGCATCTCTTCGAGAAAAGACGGCGGAAACGGCACTGCAGAGCGACTGCGTGCACGGACAGACTCGACTGCGAAGCAAAAGCGACATTCCTCACGACCGTGACGGAGAACTTCCTCACGACTGTCCCCAGGCGAGACAGAGGCAGCGTGAGGACAACACCGGACGAGGATCCATCGGGGATCTCTCTGTGAGAGCTGGCAGGTCTGGAGGATGCCTCGTGCGCCGCGGCCGGAGCGCTCGAAGAGCGGTCTGGGAGGCCCTGGAGCGCTTCGTCGTTTCCTCCCGCGGCCCGCCTGACCCCTGGAAGCCCCTATACCCCTCTCCCCAGGCCCAACTTCCCACTCCGAGCTCGACGGCCCCGGCGCCCGGGCCCGGCCCCCCCAGGGCCGAGAGGAGCTGGAAGGCACGACGCCTGCACACCTCTCAAGTGGGGGAACCAGCAGGTACCGAAATACCGCTGCTCCCCAGACCTCTCCCGGGGTGCATTCTGACAGGGACGTCGAGGCGAGTCCAGCGGTGGCGACGAATGCCTTCGAGGAGGCCCGAAAAAAAAAGGGAAAACGAGGAAAAGGTACAGGTATGGGTACCTCTTGTTCCTCTGAGCCCTCACGCCTCTCCGGACGCCGAGTGTCCTTGGGGAGAGGGCGTCGGGGGGGGCGCAGGCGGCCACTCCTACGGGTGCGGAGGAGGCGCAGCGCACGCGTCGCAAGAAGAGCGTCCCCGGGCGCGCTCTGAGGCGGCCCGCCTCCGCCGCCCTCCTCTCGGTGTCCTCGCCGGGGGGGGGCGCGCGGGTGCGCTGGCACCACTCCGCCACCGCCAAGTCGGGGGCGGCCAAGAGGGGGGCGTCCAAGAGGGTGGGGCGCAACTCATGGCCCGGGGCATGTGCG